GATGATTAAAAAGATCATAAAAAATATAGTATATAATTATATATATATATATATATATATATATATATAATATTCAATTTATATAAATTTTGACTAAAATATCCTTTATTCTTTTACAAGTTTCTTTACTTTTTCCGACTATTCCAATTTATAATCGTACACTAGTTGTAGCAAGCCTTCAATGCAATAATATTCCTTTTTTAGTGCAGATGCCAGAAGTACTGTAATACTCTAAAAATATCGTGTAAAATCTAATTTATTATTCATATTAATTTGTATAAAAAAATATTAAAAAGTAAATATATTTAATGTTCTAAAAATATAAATACATCATTAAATCAAAGTAATAGTAAGATATTGTAGAAAATTTAAAATTACTTTATCAATTTATGCTCTCAATTACTCAATTATGTGTTTTTTTTACATATCACAGGTATTTTGTGTTAGATACAATCTGTTCAAATTTGATAAGATTGTGAGTGACTAATTAAACTCACTCTTCGAATAAAGCAATTGCATGACAAAGAGTATTTTCTTAAAAGTTTATACAGGTCACAACCATCCTTCTCAGCAAGTAATTACACGAGTATTAATTTTTTTTTTGGATTACAAATTACACCAGAGTACAAGGGTATGAGAGTTGAATACTTTGAAAATGAACTATTATTATATTTTAAAATTCTAAAACAACTAAAATTTTAAAATAGAAATAAAATAATAAAAATTTAGAAATGGTGGGAGTACGTGATAGAGACGTTATTTAGAAGTTTTAAATAGTATTTCATTGAATGCAAGTGTTCCAACTTGCAAGGTAATTCATAAATATCCGCTATGAAAAGGAAAGAAGCAAAGAGGTTGGTACTTCGCGGGCACCACATCCTCTTTGCCAACATTTTACAAAATAAATTTAGAACATTTAGAGCGTCCAAAAAATATTTCAACAGGCATTTTAAGTATATAAATTAAGAAATTAATATTTTTTTAAGATTATGATTAAATTATGATGGAAATTACAATGGGGCAACTTAACATGTTTTCCAAGAGGACATGAATGGCAAATACGAGAAACCTTAATTTGATTATATTTAATCAATTTATTCTTCCTAAGGGAGGTCAAAACAGGGGATCCCGGGTGACCCAAACGATCATGCCAAAGAGATGGTGCTACGGTAGCAAATGTATATGAATTTGTAGGCTTGATGATGGGATAAAGCTCGCCCCGACTCTCACACCTCATTACTAGCTTCCCCATCTGAAAATCCTTCACAAAAAATCCAAAGGGATCAAATTCAACAGAAATAAAGTTAATAGTTGTAAACTTTCTAACTGACACCAAGTTTTTAACAAGTTGAGGAGCATGAAGGACATTGTTCAGTGTTAAGGGAAGACACGGGAAAGACAATTTGGTGTGACCATAGTCATGAATTGGAATTGAATGACTGTTACCAACAATTATACCATGTTTGTTGCTCATATTAAAATAATACGTGAGGTTACCTTGTGCGGATGTCATGTGAGAAGTAGGACCAATGTCCATGTACCAATTTGCATCTGGAGGATTGATGCCGAGAGTATGCATTGTGACTTCTATGTATGTTGGAGTTGGTGCTAAAGTGTAGGCTTGCGGAGGTCTGGGCCCAAGTACACTAGGCTGTTGACGCTGTTGCTGTCCAAATTTGGGCCTGGCCCATGAATTAGAAGGGTACGGACAAGGAGGTATAGCCCATGGAGCCATCCACTGCCAAGGCCACAGTTGTCCGCCAGGCCATGGGACATTGGCCGGAGCTTGCTGACTGGCTTGCTACTATCCACCACCGCGACTATTGTTGCCTCTGATTATACCCCAACGGCTGGTGCCGCCCTTTTC